CAGCTCCCCAGCAGCTCGCTCACCCGGTACAGGTTCTGTAGGGGCTCCTTTGCCTTCCCTGCTGGCCAGTCGCTTGCTGAGTCCGGAGCCTCCGGGAGTGCGGCCAGCACCTGGCGGAGCCAGCCCCGTGGGAGGGCAGAGCAGGACGATAGGAGTGAGAGCAGCAGCCCTTCTGGCTCAGCGCTGCTCCCCGAGGGTTTGCTGCAGCTCCTGCAGAAGTGAAGCTGGCGGAGCTTCTTTTTTTTTATTCCCCGGCAAAGTGGAAGGTTTTGCTACTGCTACTCAGGATTAAAATCGGGATCACAAAGAAAACGTGTTGTTTTGGTATACACTCAACAGCGAATTTCTGTCATTGTTCCTCTCTCGCTCCTCTCCTACCGATTAAGCCATGTATAAAAGCAATAGCTGTGTCCCAATGTTGCTGCTGCACACAACTCGTTTCTAACAGTGTCAGGGGCTGTGGGAGGGGATGTGCTGACAAGTCTGTCCTTGCATCATGAGCTATACATGCTGAAGAAAATGCTTTTGCAAGCTTATTTTTACTTCCCTGACCTAGCAAGGAATAAAAGTGGAGAACTGTACTGAGGACCCCAGAGCTGGATGCAGCACTGCAGGTGGGTGTCACCAGAGCAGAGGGGCAGAATCACCTCCTGTGCCCTGCTGCCCACGCTGCTTTGGATGCAGCCCAGGACACAGTTAGCTTTCTGGGCTGCGAGTGCACATTGCTGGCTCATGTCCAGCCTCTCATCCAGCAGCACCCCCAAGTCACTTGCGGCACAGCTGTTCTTGATCCATTCATCCCAAAGCCTGGATTTGTACCGGGGGTCGCCCCAAGCCAGGTGCAGCACCTTGTGCTTGGTCTTACTAAACCTGGTAAGATTCCCATGGGCCCACTTCTTAAGCTTGTCCAGGTCCCTCTGGATGGCATCCTGTCCCCCTGGTGAGTCAACTGCAGCACTCAGCTTGGCGTCTGTAGAGGACCAGGCATAAGCATATGCTGTCTCAAACATTGTGACTACGATAAGAGGTGATTGGAGCAGAGGGTCCTGTGGAGGTGAGGCAGTGAGGTTTTATGCCAACTTCATGCTTCACCTGGAGACTCCTGCTCTGCCTGCCCCCCTGCCCCCCACCCCGATTCATTTCCTGGACGAGGGCTCAAAGGGTTGCTGTGCACACATGAACAGAATAGCGGGAAAAATCTAGTTTACGTAAGAGACTGCCCCAGGTTACCTATAAAAGGGAGTAGATCAGGCCCCCTCACTGTCTTTTTCCCACTCTCCTCTCTTTGTATTTCACTCTTATGCTTTGTCCCAGCTCCAGAACATCCACATGGCAGGATCAATGTGGGATCTAAGGATTGGTGATTTTCTGTGTTGGCTATCTTCCTGTTCTGTCTTTTGCTCTCCCTATGCTTTGCTTGGGCAAAGGATGGCTATCATACTTTACCGTCGTACTTTTCACTGAAGTTTGTGTAGGAGTGGGGAGATTGTGAAAAGTGGTGGTGTGGCTTGTGAGCAGCACCTTTGAATATTGGGGTGTTGTGGCTTGTTAGCCAGCACCTTGGGTTGTGTGTTGTGGGTCTGCACCTTTAAGAGGTTTGCTGTGGAAATTGAGAAGTTACTGTACTGTATTGTACAAACTAAGGGCTTATTATCCTCCACTCTTGTGGAAGTAGATTGTATAAATTTAAGAGCTTGTTTGGTAACACCTTTTGGGTCTAAATATTGGGTTGGTTGCTGGAGTTATGGCAAAGGTACAATAAAACCTAAAGTTCCCTCGTTGATCCTGTGTCTTTGTCCAGGCTGATGAGAACTGATAACGAACATCACACCCTTTACAGGTGGATCGTGACAGCATCATGTGCAAATTTGATGAGGGTGCACTTGATCCCTTTGCCTATGTCATTAATAAAGATACTAAATAATGCTGGTCCTAGTACAGACCCCTGAGGAACACCGCTCATCACTGATGGCTGTCAGGACTCCAACCTGTTGACCACTACACTCTGGATGCAACCGTCAACTATTTATCCACCTAACAGTCCACTCACTGAATTCATCTCTCTCCAATTTAGAGAGAAGGATGCTGAAGGTGACTGTGTCAAAGGCTTTGCAGAAGTCCAGTTAAATGGTATCTGTAACCATTCCCTTGTCCACTGATGTGGTCACCCCATCATACAAGACCACTGTGTTGGTTAGGCAGGACTTCGCTTGTTCTGCGCAAAGTCCAGGTGTGCAGGAAATGTTGGTAATTTAAAGTTGCCGAGAAGGAACAAGGAGAAAAAACTCCCCGCGTGGTGACTTCTTTGTCATCCTCTACTGAAGGTCCTTTTACCTGTAATCGGCTTTGTTGCTACACGCACACCCCTGAGATAAAACTGAAACATTAATAGCTTTTACAGTGGAAAGTTTCAGAGGTCAAGATATTAGTAACTACTTTCCCATTCCTCTCGAACTGCACAAATCATCATTGAATCATCACTGGATGATTTGGGTTGAAGGGATCTTACAGATCATCTTGATCCAAGCCTCCTGCCATGGGCAGGGACACCTTCCACTAGACCAGGTTGCTCAGAGCTCCAGCCAACTTTGCCTGGAACACTTCCTCAGGGATGGGGCAGCCACAGCTTCTCTGGGCAACCTGTGCCAGTGCCTCACCAGCCACATAAGGAAGACTTTCTTCCC